GGGTAATGTGGGCACCACCTCAGTCAAAAATTAGCATTAAAAACATTTATTCGCTATTTTCTAAAAAGTAGCGAAAAGGCCCGAAAATGGGTTATTTATCGAGTTAGTGGCATCCTTAAACACATTTTAAAAACGGTTTTATTGGTGCCGATGTTCTTGAATTGAAAACTTTTTTTTTTTTTTTTTTTTTTTTTTTTCAAAACAGTGAGTGTATGTGTGTGTGTGTGTGTGTGTGTATGTAATCTTTAGCTTAACTCGCAACTCTAGTCCGATAGCACTTGTTCGTGTTTGGTAAGTGGCAATCGCGTCGTTGTCTTTGTCACCTTCCAAGACATACGTGCCTGGCACGACGAGAAGCGGCCGTCAAGTCTCAAGATGCAGCAACTTTCCTGCTCGTGCGTTTCAAGAGCATTCAAGAGCTTGGGGTAACAGGTACCCGGCTCACACGCCAGAATCTTTTCGCGTTGCGCAGGCTGTTTGTGGGGTGGGCAGTGACATGAGCAGGACACAAAACGTATCTTTACGCGAATCTGTCGATTATGCTTAGGAACCGAAACGGTAATACTAAAGATGTGGAGGGAAGTTATGACAAATTTATCGAATTATTAACAGTAACTAACGATAATTATTATTTAATCAAAGACTGCTCAACAAGAAATAAAAATAGATATCTTGTGAAACAATACTGCCTGGCATTTCATTTAAACAACAATGTATTATTATTATTATTATTATTATTATTATTATTATTATTATTGAATCTGATTAAAAGTTCAAATAAAATAATTATACAGATAACACATACTAAGTACTTAATAAACAGTACTAAATACTTAATTATTATAAATACCAATAAAACATTAGTAAATTAATTATTGATAATAATTAATAAAAAATAATTAAATTTAATTTCCTTAAAATGACAAAAAACTGACATTCGAGTAAATGCACAAAGTGACCACCGTTTGCCAAGAGACAGGAGTTTACTCTTTTCAGTCTAGTGGTTGCTGTACTTGAAAGGTAACAAGGACAGAATAAGTGATTTCTCTTTCTTCCAACAAAAGTTAGCCGCATTCTCTCAGCTCGAAATCTGAAAGTACGCGGCCATGGGGAGCTAATAGTGAAAGGCACGCCGAAGATATATTACGCGTTGCCAAAACAAAAGGTGGTGTTTCCAGATATGGGTTGCGAGTTACGGTAAAGACCCGGTATATAACAAATATATTTTTTATATATAATATACAGTAAAACGTATTTAAGGTGGAAACCTGCCTTCGCCGGAAAATATCAAAACGGGCTATTTTCAAATGTAAAGTACACTGAATAAGCCGGAAACCTGCCTATTGCGGGAACGAATTTTTAGTACGACAATAAAAATTCTGGATAAGACAGAAAACAAATATTGATTTGAAATTAAACATTGACTCTCAAAACTATTCGGACATTAATTAATTTAACCAAAAATTGCCTAAATTTTACTAATAAAACCACATTACCATTAATTAGCAAACAAATTTGAAATAACAAAATGTTCTTATATACGTAAACAAATACTTTCAAAAATATGTATTTGTTTGATTCGAAGAAAAATGAATCGCTGATGCAGAGTCAAAACTATTCGGACAACCGTTGGGGCATGGTAGCGGATCTTTTGAGCTCCGAAAACAACGTTGAAACCTTCAACCCTTGCTGCACATTCAGGGCCACCTGTCAGTCGATGAACCTGATTAGTGGCAACCTTAACAATGTCCAATCAAACATTTAACAAAAAACACAATAGACCTCCTTACCCTCATCCTAAACTCCTGCCTCAAACTGTCCTACTTCCCCCACCGCCGGCGTAACCATGCTCCCCACATCCGGCAAGGTTCATCAGATCCCGTCAAACTACCGCCCTATAAGTCTCCTCACCATCCTCGGCAAAATTTTCGAAAAAATCCTACTCCTACGACTAACATCCATCCTAGATCCTATCATCATCTTACAATTTGGATTCCGAGAGGGCCGCTCTGCAGCCCCCCAAACCCTAAACCTCTCCCTGGCAATAGCCACTCCACTACAAGACCAAAACAAAATCCCAACCATCCTAACTGATCTCACCCAAGCATATGACATAGTTTCTCACCAAATTCTCCTTATGAAAATCCGACCGTAGGTACCCAACCACGTCCACTTATTACTTCAAAGCTGGCTTAAGCACCAATTTTTTCACGTTCGCCACCTGTCAAAATTCTCACCCGATCCACGCCGGCGTCCAACAAGGAGTTGTGCTATCCCCAATCCTATTATCCATCTACATTAACGATATCGCACGCAGCCCTGGAGTCCAAAACTTCCTTTACGCCGATGACCTTGCCCTCCTTACAACCTTCCACTCCGTAAACCGATCCCTCATCAACTTCAAGAATCATTAAACACGTTCACTCTGGACCTCACAAAACGCCATCATCAACCCCTCAAAATCACAAGCCATCATCTTTTCGCATAAAACCTTCCCCTCCAGTCCCCCCCTCTATCCATCGGAAACACACCAATAACTTGGAAAAGAGAAGTAAAATACCTTTGACTAATTTTCTCCCGACGCCTCCTCTAGACTAATCACATCCACCAGACAAGAACGAAAGTCATTAGAATTACAAACGTCTTATTGCCCATCCTCACCCATGCCTCCCTTCCTACTTAAAAGAAATTACAAACCAATTACACCTACATCCGCCCCTTCATATCATATGCACACCCAACCTGGATCGCCACTTCCCAAGAAAATCACTCGAAAATAACCAGAATGGAAAATTACGCCCTCCGCCTCCTATTCCGGCCACCCATGCACACACCCTTCAACCAACTTAGATCCCTCACATCCTTACACACCTCCATCACTCGGCAACAGCACTAAGTTCCGTCAACTAATCATTCCGCACCATCACATCCTCAGAAACCCACCTCGGTTTTACTCGCAAACAACACCCACTTGACATCCTCCAACTCCCCCCTCCCATCACATAAGCCAAAGCACAGTACGAAAGACATTACATCGGCATAATTAAACAGATTACAACAAACGAAACACAAATCGATAAACACGCAAAAGGTAGACAAAAGATGCGATCACTCGACACAAAAATGACAAAACCGACCATACGACAAACACAGGAAGAAGAACAAAGCCAGGTAAAAGAGCTCCGCCCACCAACAATAACAACCACCAAAACTTCACTTTCTACAACCACCCAAAAAAAGGGCCACCCCCCCCCCCGACCAGTCAACCTAATAAAACAAAATTGTAAATAACCCCTGAAAATGTCAAGAATTATTAATAATTACTAAAATGTGATGAAACATGTAATATGTATATAAACATTATCATCAAAACATGTATGTAAACATTATCATCAAATTACAAATAGTATAAATCAATATCAATTTGATTTTTGTTATTATTTTGGGCTAACAGGACAGGTCACAAATATTTCCTCTTTTTATTTTTTTTAGGAGTTTCACATCGATAACTGAATTTGTTTTCAAATTACGGAGGAAAATCTTTACTTCTGCATATGTGAAATATATATTGTTTTTATCGTACATGTTCCTTCCCCATTTTCTAAAAGTGCAAATTTGCAAATTGGTTTAAAAAATTAACTAATGTATGGATTTGTTTCTACTTTTCAAAAATTTCAATATGGGTTAATGATTACAATAATTCCAAATACAATGGCTTAGGTACATTGGTTTATGATTTTATATTATTGAACAAACAAACAAGAGTAATTTAAGATATCCAATAAATAATGCAGTATAAAGCCCATTTAAAAATTCCTGGTTATAATAAAATCCTGGTTCAATTTGTACCTATAATTGTGCTGGAATTCCCAAATTAGAAAACAAAAAATTTGGGTACTTGCAATAGTTTTTTTGTTTCCTTTGCAATAACAGTACTAACATTAAAATTAAAAAAAAAACTAGCAATTTTTGGGAAAAACGTGAAAAATCTCTGAGGGACTTTTACCACCAAAACTTAAAACATCCATTTCAAATTCAAGGAAGCAATGGATTAGGGAATATCAATTTTGATGAAAATCAAGTATGAAGTTTAGGCTAGTGTTGTTAACAGATGTTTTCAAACAGTTCTTTTTATATTAAGTGTAATTAAATGATTGTGTTTTGCACAAAAACGATTCAGTTTTTTTGCACTGACTGATAGGTTGAGACAAAAAAATTGATTGTGCAAGAAACAAACATTTTCCTCATGAAATATAAACAACTTTTCTTTCTAGTATCACAAAAATATTCTTCTATTAGGAAACATGATTTATATTATCTGTACAACTCACAAACAAGGGGTGAAAAAATACTTTACAAAAGACATTTTCATGGTGACATAACTTTTCAGACGTATCAATAAAAGTAATTTCATGCACATGTCATGGAATGTGAAATTCATTTTTAAAAGATGGTAGACAAAAGCCCAGTATCTAAGTCTCACACGGAGTCTTTCTAACAAATATTAATATGTTTATTAGCATTATATAACTATCCCTTCACAATGAAACAACCTGCCATTGGGGAAGGAAAGAAAAAAAAAAAAAAAGAACGCTTTTAGTACTCAGTAGAAAATTACTTTAAATTAAAGTTTATTTACTAATTAGTATATCGTTTAAAAAAGACAAGTGGCACAATCATTTGCAAAATTTAATATCGAAATCTGTACAGGCGAAATTAAAATGCAAAGGATATCAGCCGTTTTAAAATTTAAAAATAAAAATTAAAGCATGTCAATAAATTAAAATAACTTTTTTAAACATAAAAATTAAGTGGGAACAAAAGAACTTTTTACATACTTCACACATTTATTATGCTGTGTTCTTCCTCTGTACTTCCCATTTTTGGAATTGGCAATGCATGTAAAGATTGAGCTTCATGTTCTTTCTTGCAAAAATATGAGGGTATGATATAGACAAGATAACATTTTTGTCTTTTAAATTGATTTGGAACTATTTATTGAAATCATCTATTTTGAAGTAACTGACAAATAATAATAATAATAATAATAATAATAATAATTCAATAAGTAGTCAGTGGCTAAGGGAGTTAATTTTTAGCCATCATCATTCCCAAATGTTTCTACAGAAAATATCAATGACCCCAGAGTGCCAGTATCAACAACTGCGGGAATGGCTGCTTTAGCAACATTGCTGTGAATACTTTATAAGCAACTGTTTAGCAACCTTTTGGAAGATTAAAAAATACAGCTTAAAGAAAACTTCGGAAATCTTGCTGTCATCTGAAACCAATTATTCTAGTCGACAAATATGAAAATTAAAGATACATCAATGTAGTGAAATAACTGAACAATTACAAAATTCTTTCAAGAATAATGTATTGAAGAATGAATGGTACAACTTATACAATATTTGTTTCTTATTTTCATATCTACAAGCAAGGCCCTCTTTGAGTATGCAGTATCTATTTCACTGACTGTTACAACAAAAATCTAGAGGATGTCAACTGAGTACATCTTTTCAAATGTAATTGTAGAGAGAAAATCTGCATCGTAATGCGATTTCTTGATGCAATAATGGAACACAGTATACGGTGGTGATTTTATACCCAGTACCTATAATATTTAAAACATTGTGAAAGTACTCATTTTGAATACTTGTCATTTGGTTTACAAAAAATAATCACTGTACAAGATTTACCATAACTGCGAGGCAGAAGTGCTATATAGATGAAGTGAACTACACACTTCTCCAGCAGGTGTTACCTTTCCATCTCATGAGGCAATTAACATCATGAAGATGAAGCTTAATTTTCAATAACTTGATGGTATTTATGAGACATGAGGATAGGTACTTTGGTACAATGGCTCCATTAATTTCTCTTAAATAAGCAGATATTAAACAATCATTTCAAGGGTTTAACCTATTGGTCGATATTTCTAATGATGATTTATAAATTAAATAATCAGAACAACTGAATTAAAAGTGCCAACCCTGACTCTTTTATAAATAATCTTAATTCTGAGCAAACGTCTACTGTGTACACCATTCAGTCAGGTATTATGCAATTACCTGAAGTACTTTTGTAATAAACCAAAAAAAAAAAAAAAATACAGTCTCAGGACAATCAATCAACAATTTCTCCATAAAATATACTTTACACTGCACATACATATTCTTTTACAAATGTATCAAACACTATTTCTGTTATTTGTATCTTCATGGTACGCATTGCACACTTTTTCACATCACATCGCATAAACCCGCACACACTCCATTTTCAAACTGACAACTACAGAAAATTTTAGTATCATCCTTGTTATTCCAGTTGATTTTGGTTAATGGGATTAACCAATTATTGGAGGCAAATTCTTTTTGAGCAAATGTTTAAAGGATATTACTCCATAAAGTCAATCTTGCCCATTTCTTTCATACGTACAGGGCAAACCTTCCAGTCAAGAAAGGAATCAACACAAGTGTATGTACATGTATAAACGTATGAACACTAGCAAAAGCACACACACACCCATTTGCATGCACACCAGATCATCTAACTCTCCATTTAAGTAATTTTCCCATGTGTATGTTTTATATTTAATTACAAATTAAATTTTATATCCAGTAGCACTTTGGGATAATATGAAATTGCATATTTTGGTCAGCAGAAGCACTGATTATCATTCCTAAACTTTTATGTTGTAGCAAATATTAACATGATGGTATATTCAAGCAATGACCAAATTAAAAATTATTCTATGCCATTAAAATTACACAAGCTTATCAAAGTTTTATTGACATGATCCCATCAACCACAATCAAGTTTAAATGATGTGAACATTTTGAGTAATATTCAATATCCTTTCTATAACGTCAAAATTCCCAAGCCACGTCTTGCTTTTCTGAATTTTGAGAATGGAATTTGGTATGCAAACTACTAATTTTTTTGAATTTGGTAAATAAATTACAGATAATACAGAATTTAATGGTTTCTATATGGGAGTAATGTTGAAAACTTTGTGACTTAATAACCAATTCCTCAACAGCAATGGCAAAAACAAATTAAACAAAAACCAATGGAATTGTTTCCCCCTCTATTTTTTTTCCCCATTTCAGCAATTAAATTATAAACTTAAGTGGTTTGAACTTAACACATTGAAAATCAACTTAAAAGATTATTATTTTGGGGAGCTCCAATTACACTTTTCTATGTTTGAATAAAACTGCATGTACATCATGATGATCAAGCAAATCTTAAAGCAAAACAAATGAATAACTGCAACAAGGACAGTGATTGGTCCCAAGCACACAACATAAAGCATTATCACTTCATCTGGACAATTGTATGAGTCTGGAAGTAATAGAAGTTGCTTCAACTAGCATACTGCACACTTTTGGCATTTACTGAAAAGGAAAGTCACTTTTTTTCTGAAGTGCATATTGGCAAGTTTGTTATTCATTTGCAATAATCCCTAATCACAATGGGTTTGATGCGATTGCAATAACTCTCAGAAAACAAGATTTTACTACAATAAAAAATATGATTTAGGTAGTCAAATATATATAGGTTGCTGTCGATAGATATATACAGGCTGAATATGATTTAATATTATTTGCATCAGTTTTAAATTGGTTCTTGAATCCTCTCTTTTCAGTGCTTCTTCTTCTCTCCAATTTAATTCATTGATGCAAAAGTGATAATTCAACATTTACCGTCTATGTACAACAGTATTTCACTGTAAAGGTGGGGATACTTCAATGTCAACAATGCTTGAATTATTTAAACAGTTTTTACCTCACACTACATTATTAGAATATGTTCAGTCAGTGCCTAAGACATCACTGTAATCTTAATTAAAAAAAAAAAAAAGAAAAAAAAAAGTAAAACAAAGAACACTTAAAATTAAAGAACTATAGTTCACACATCATTAATGATTTCTTTCTATATCTCAAGGATATCACGTGCGTATTAAAACTAATATGCTCAATGTTCTTATTGTCCTTCACAACCAACTAATTTTCATTTTCAATCAATATACTTGTTGAATTGGCATTTTATTGAGGGGAGAAAGTTCATTTTTGTTAAAGGTTATCAGCAAAATGAATTTTATAAATAACCCTCAAAACCATATTTCTGTATGTAATATTTTCTACAATAAAACACATGTGCATGGTATCAATGCTTTAGCATTTTATACACAGCAAAATATGGTAAACAAATGTACAATTACAGGTAACTATAGTGGCTTTCACAACCAAACAAAATGTCTTGGTTTTAAGTCAATTAAACTTGAAACACACCAATATATGAGGTAGAACCACATAATTAAAATCCAAAAAGGAAAACAGACACCCTCAAATGCATTTAACGTAACAACAATTTTCAACACAACTCAATAAAAGGCATGTTTTTTACTAATGCAAGTAAAGATTTCTTCCCAAAAATTTAGTTTGATGGGGGATATAAAGGCAAAAGGAATCAATAATAATTCAGCTTTTACGTGTCATGCTAGACTTCAAAAAATATATTAATTCTAAGCTCTGATGTGTTGGGATTGAAATACACAGGTTATCCACTTTTTGTCATCTCTATACAAACTAGTAAACTTGGTAATAAAACACAAATCGCACATAAATAAGAGCACACATTTCTGTAAAATCATAGCATGAAAGATCCAACCCTGCACAACGTGCCTTCAGAGAGTCACAGTGTGAAGTGCCCTCTTTTATGATTGTTAAGTGATGCACTCTTCATAATGGCATATACAAAACAATCCAAAACTTGCAATGATATCAATCTGGCATTTTCATTATTTGCCCCTTCATTGGAATGCAAGCATCACATTACACAAAATTTGAAATCTTTTTAACTCTACCTTCTTGAGAATGCCTTATAACTAATAGGTTGGTTTATATTCAACACTTTGGGCCCCACAAAATTGCAGAAGTTATGATTCTGACATGGAAGGACAATCACATATTTCAATTCATTGGGTCTCCTACAAGCGTTCGAGTTTAAGTTTAAAAATCTAGGTACTACAGAGTACCATCATGTTCACCAAACTTCTACAAAATATAATAGTTTGTGTAAACTGAAGTTACAAGGTCTTCTCACTAAGGCAATATGCAAAATTATGGGTAGTATCCAAAACCTGCAATTGCTTTTAATATGTTTAGCATTATTAACAAGTATGTGAATGATTTTTATTAATTGGGTAAAAATAGCAAGACCAATTATTGAAATTTGATTCACATTTTTAGAAAGCTTCAGCACAGGAGAGGATAATAAACAAAAAAGAAAGAAAGGAAAACAACGTGCAACAGTTTTGACAGTAGTTGAGTGCACAGCTCAGAGAAATGTTGCAAATCAGATTGCAAAGCTGTATCAAAGAAACAAAACTTAAAATACAAAAATAGGAATGCAAATGTACACCTAAACATTGCACACTGCAGAACAATAGATCTACCCCACACACTTAATTTCTTACAAAACATTGGAGGAGAAGCCCAATATTTTTTATTATTATTATTAATTATTATTATTAATATTATTATCATGATCATTATGATTTCTTAAGATACCTTTAGATTCATGAACCATTTTTCAACAATTCTGTCAAATGTAGAATAACTGGTGTAATATTGAGCTGTATAGAAGCAGCATTATTATTTGGTTGTCAAAATTATTTTATTTTTTCATTCAACCCCATATATACATTATACACAAGTTTTGAGGATTAGAATTTATATAATGATTGCTTCATGAATTTATCCTAACATTCACAGACAAATCTGAAATTTTAATCTATATACAAGCTTGAAAATCACTTATACATGACAATGGTATTTCAGACACACTGCTGATGAAATATATGCAATATTCCAGTATTACAACTGGAACAAATTGTTTTACTGTGTGAGGAAAGACGAGCAAGACTGGCAGAAGGCATCACAATCAGTTTATAGTGCTGATAGTGCTCTAAATCCCACTTCTTACCACAACAGTTTCAATGTCTCGATTTTTCATTCATCATGGAACTATCTACACTTTGTATTACCCATCTAGACAGTGCAGAATACAGTTCCTGTACAAAAAAAATCAAATTTCACCAATTTGTCCCAAAATGGTTTTCACAGCATGTAGCACCTTCAGTAAGTTTTTACAAAGAGAAAATGACAGATAGGAAAGGGGGAAAAATATACTATTTTCATGGAGATTGAACATCTAAATGCTCACAGCACATTGTGAACAATATACTTTTTATGAAAGCCACATTTGGTTAAAATGCCTGATATCTAGCACTATTGATGGGAAAAGTAATTCCTTAGTCAACACAATACATTTTTCAACAGAGTGATAAGAAGCAGGAACAGGATCACATATTGAGATTAAAATTGCAGTTTCACTAGTATTTAATACCACCCCTTTATACGACTTCACAAATAAACGTTATGGACAATTTATAACAACTGGAGCTAACAAACATAACTGGCTAGTAGTCACTAACAGTGTAGGTCATTTGAGGTGTGCCATGGCACTTGGAAAAGGTACAATAAAAGACTTGAGTCACAAAACTGACATTCGCAGTTTGGACATTTAAAAATTAAACAAAAATTTTAAAAAATTAAAAAAAATAAAACAAAGATTAACTTCAACACACAAAACTAATATAATAAATTACAAAGAAGTGAAATAGAAATTACTGAAAGCTCAAACATAAAACCATCATATATCCCAGATGCACCACACAATTCAGAGCACGTTTGTGCTTGGAGCATACACTAGCATCTAGATCTTGACCTACTGAAGCGTTCTACTGTGACACACCACTATCTGCATATCTGTTGTGGGGCAGATTTAAACAAACTTTTTCTATAATGTCTGTAACTTACCTCTACTACATAAATCAAAGTATATGATCACAAATGCTGAACCAGCAGACAGCTAACTTTCATAATAAGAGGGAACAATCTATTAATGCAATTTTCTGAGAAGAAAAACACTGTTTTACAGCTCTGTGTAATATAAAAAAATGACAAATAAAGTATGAGTACATATTTTTTTGTTTCCTTTCCACCTAAAGAGAAAGTAAAATAACTATTATGCTTTTAAAGCACTCTTCTCTAAAATAGTTTATTTCCTGGTTGATCAAGTATCATCTAATTGTCAAAGGGAATTCAACATCTGAATGAAATGTTAACACAGACTAGTAATAAAAGGGGGTCCCAATACCAGGCATCCTTTCTAACAACCTTAAACTAGTAAATTATGTGTTGTGTTATAATGAATGATCCACTTGCTGATATAACTTCCTTAACTTTGAAGCCTCAGAACCTTATGTTCCATTCAATACTTCCTTTCCTGAGCATAAGGACTTTTTTTCTTCTTTTTTTTTTATCTGTATAATCATGCTCACTAATACTCAGAGGGATATTTTGCTCTTAGTTTGTTACAAGCAATTCACATGAATACAATGATCAACTGCAATGACAATGCAATTTTGGCTTCAGAGAGTACTACTTGTAACACTTCTCTCTATCTTATCCTACAATAAAAGTAATATAACTACACACATGTGCAGCTTCACATTAAAATTCCAACTCTCTTAAATTCAATGCAATGCTTAGGGAGTAAAAACTTACGAAGGTACTCTTACACGGGCTGTGTTTCCTGTTAATTACTGGAAACAAGTTTTATCAGTAGCACATTACTTATTTATATCAAATACTGGAAGTTGGCCAGAAAAAACACTAGCATGAAAACTTTTCTTTATCATGTAATACTGCCATTTGAATGAGCAGCTCTTTCAAAGAAACAGAGCTTGGCAAGGCAAACAATTGAAAAAAATATTTGTCAAATTTATAGAGGCTGTGATTCTGCACTGACAAGAAAAATTACTCAAACGTTTGGTGTTAACCAGTTATATCGCAAGGCCATGAAAAACACAAGGAGAGAATGAAGAAAGGAGAATTCTACTATGTACAAAAACCCTTACAATTGTATTCATGCTCATTAAACATGGCCATGTTCTTCAAACTCTGCTCTTGACAATTCTAACAAACGTTAAAATACTTTCTACTCTTCTCATCACTCCACTTTAAATTTGGAATGTACATGAAAGACTTAATTGCTTCTTTTTTAGTTTAGTTTTAAAAATTGTAGTCCATTTTTAATATCAACAAAAATGCCAAAATTTAAGTTAAAATATGAATACTAGTTTGAAATTCATTTTGCCCACTTGCAGTTACTTATAACTTCCTTCTGCTGCAGCTCAATTGTATCAAATATCTTTTGTTATAAGTGGAGGAAAAGAAAAGAAAGGAAGAAAAACAGAGACTGAACAAGTACTATTTCATTTCCATAAATTAAAATTTCTACAATTTCTAGCAAGGAGATTGAAAATAAAAATGTTAAGTACTGCCATCTGTACCAAATACACTTCTCTCCCTTTCCACCCCACTTTCCATACTTTGAAATGCCACCACAAAAAACGTTTTTCTTATATACAGGAGCTTCAATACAGATAGGCATATTACTTGCATTAGATGTGCAAGCTTTCACCAACCAAAAATACTGGTCACTACCCAACTAGCTTCTTGCCAGAGCACAGACCATTACAAAGAAAAATCAAGTGGCAAAGAGGATAAAGAAACGGAAGAAATGCACATCATTTGGAACTTAAATATTAAGGGAAACGTTTTCCTTTATTAGACACTACACTTGTTTTGTTGATAATAGTCACACTGCTTCATCTATGCTTTATGACTGACTAGAATTGTGCTGCAATGATTATTTCATTGAAGTAATTTTGTTACGATAATTTCAAGTTTTTGGGACAGCTGCAAATGCCTGTAAAATGATGTGCTTCATTACTTTATAAACTAGGAAATAGTGCTAATGTAAGTCAAGATTTGATGTAAATTCTATTGGCTGGATTCTTTTTTAATTGGACAACGACTTAGTCTTTAAGTGAAAAGTGGTAATCTGTCATATAATTGTTGCCTTTTTACTTCTTTGCAACTAAATGTTGCATATGAAGCATAATGAATATAGCTCCTAATGGAAAACCTGCTGTCATGTAATGTGCATTTTCAAATATATTTATATAAGAAAACAACAAACAAAAACACTGCCCGTGTATGGCACCTGTACAGATTATTAGGTGGTAGAAGTGTCACAATGGAATGCTCAATCAGGCCAGACTGACACAAATTTAGTAGATCATTTCTGTGTCAAAAGAGTTTCGAATTAAATTTCTGCAAAAAATGTATCTTCAACAGCAGGAAAGCAATGCACACATCTGATGAGAAAGGAGTGATTAAAGCAAGGATTTACAAACTGGTTCAGTATCCTCCACAATTGAAACTGAGATTAACACTATCCGCCTGACTTGGGCACAGCCTCTTGAAGACACTTTCTATGAAAGTTCGCCTGTAAGAAAGAAAAAAAAAATTAATTATAAACAGCAACTACACAAAATAATTGACATACATCACATTTTTGACAACTGTGTATTTCATAATACAACTAATTGATCAGTGATTTTTTTTGGAACACTTGTTAAGTTAATGAAGAAAGAAAAGGATAAGTCAGTAAAAACTTAAAATATATTCTGCAAAGTCAATATTGATACATCACTTAAATGTTCATAAAAAGGAACCGTTATTATTGGATTTTCTTGTTCAGAGACGCCACACAAAACTCATGAAAGCCGCCAATCGAAATCATTTTCAATTTAGGGAGGGTATCCATGTTGCGGCATTTTGCAACTTAACAAAGGAGCCGTCCATGAATTACGTGACGCAAATTTGGAGTATTTTCAATACACCCTCTGCCCCTTGTAACGCACGCTTGACCCCCCCCCCTAAATAATTACGTAACACTTGCGACAACTATTGTACCGCCCGATGTTACAATACCATCAAATTATGCTGTGATTTTATGACGTTAATATGCAAGTGTGACGTTAATAAGTAAGTACGGCGTTAATATTTATTCGTAATACAGAAAAAAAGATTACAAACAGACAACCAACTACGAAACATTAATTTAACTAATCATTACTAAAAAAAAACACGTATTAATCATTTAAATGAAATGTGCAGTTCGAAATATTCGTGAAAGAAAATCCAGATTGTGGCAATTTCTCTGGCAAATCCATTTCACAACGAACAATAAACACCCCGGCCAAGCACAGCCGCCCCTATGACAGTCGGCCTTGGCCTGTGGTAATGATTGGCAATTGTCTTTTATCTCCACGTCTTCGTTTATTATTTACAAACAATAGTGTTGCGACACTGACTGGAATCCATTTGCTCTTGTACAACTAAGGTATTTCTAGTTATTTGATGTTTAATTTATATTCCTTTCATTCACGCACTGCATTTTGCTCATGGCGTGTTAAAAAAATGGTATACGCAACACGGGTGCGAGAAGAGTCCCGCACTCGTCTCTGTCGTCATTGCTACGCTCGGATGACAAACTCGACTCGTATGTGAATCATATTTCGCACCCTCGTGACGTAAACTACTATTTTGGCAGCATATCCTTAAACCACAATAATACGCATACACAATTAAGCAACGCGTAAAAGCAAGCTTGAAAATGATGGAAGCATAATTTTCTTTGATATCTCTGAATTATTATAGGCCTATATAT